AAATGGGATGAACTGTGTCGGCAGCCACGTGTCACATGCTTGATAATTAGGTCAAGAGTGCAAAGGAATGTCACTATTATGACAACCCTGCAGTTAAAGCGCCGAGCACGCTCACAATTCTGTGACAATCGCTTTGGATCTGTCTGAGAATGCATGGACCATACAGATCTCCTAGACGGATGCCTGTCTCACTCTCAGCCAGACGCACACACTAGGAAGTTCCCTTAGGATGAAGACTGTCAGAACTGGCATGTCAACCCCTCAGTCACACTTACAAAATAAAATCTGTGAGGTCCCTTAGGCTCAGCTGTGTCAGTGATGGAGGAAGGTCTCGCTAAATATACACCCTGACCGGCCCCTCCAAACCATGACCTATTTCCCTCACTCTGTCTCTTGCTTCCCCTCTCTCTTTCTTTTTTTATTTCTTTTTTTCCCCCCGCTTCAGTTGTGTATCTCCTTTTATGTAGTCTAATTCTTGGCTATGTTCAGAATAGCATATTACCATACTGTACTAGCCTTACTCTTTCTGCAGCACATTGCAGTTGTCACGATCACCTGCTGGAGGGCACTCTATCCCAGACTTCTGCTATTCTATCAAGGACTTCATGCCCCATAATCCTCTGCCCGGTCTCATCAGCACTCATTGTTTGCACCTGTGTCTCATTAGCATGGTTAGCTCACCCTATATAAGCCCGTTTGTCATTCATTGTCAGGTCTTGAAAGTGTCATTACTGCAATTCTAAGCCTTGTGTCCTGGTTCTCCTGTGTCTTTCTTCCTGGTCTTGTTATTCTGCCTGTTTTCTGGGTTACTCTGTTTGCCTCATGGGTTTTGATTGGCTGTGTGTGTATGACCTTTGCCTGCCTTTGGATAATGTTTGTGGATTACCCCTTCAATAAACTACTGCATTTGGATCCTCTACTTTCATGTCACCGTGTAGTTTACTTCCTGAGAACCAGCTCAAAAGAATGATTAGTTCAAGAACCGAACATCAGTACTTTGCGGCCATGATTCAATTACAACGAGGGAACTAATTAGTGCAACATGGCCATGATTTAACTAAAACGAAGGGAACTAATTAGTGCAATATGGTCACAGTTTAACTAAAATGAGGGAACTAATTTGTGCAACGTGGCCAAAATTGAACCAAAATTAAGGGAACTAATTAGTGCAACATGTCCATGATTGAACCAAAATAAGTAAATGAATCAGTTCAACATGTCTACGATTGAACTAAATTGAAGCCCTGTCCACACAAACGCGGGTATTTTCAAAACTGCAGCTTTTTCTGTGCGTTTTGGCCGTTTGTCCACACGCAAACACAGCACCAGGTCACTGAAACTGAACATTTTTGAAAACTCCTGCCACGGTGAAGATTTTCAAAAACTCCGGTTGCAGTGTTATCGTGTAGACAGCGAAACCGGAGATTTTGGCTTGTGACATCGGAGCCTGCGCTGTTATCTCCGCCTACTGGAGACTTTTTCAGGCTTCTGATTGGCCAACATGGCTTTACGGTTGAGATTATATCGCCACCTGTTGGTTTGGCATGCTCTTGACAGTGTTTCATAGCATGCTTTTGCGTTTTCATGTGGACGGAGATTTTTTTTAAAAACAGAAGAAGGAAAAACTAGGAAAAAATACCCGTGTACGTGTGGACATGGCCTGAGAGAGTTAATGCAACATGGTCACAATTAAACTAAAAGTAAGGGAAATAATTAGTCCAACATGGCCACAATTAAACTAAAAGTAAGGGAAATAATTAGTCCAACATGGCCACAATTAAACTAAAAGTAAGGGAACTAATTAGTCCAAAGTGGCCACAATTTAACCAAAATGAAGGAACAAATTAGTAAAATTTGGCCATAATTTTAACTAAAACAAGAGAACATATTGGTGCAAGATGGCCACAATTGAATTAAAACTTAGGGAACTTATTAGTGCAATATGGTCATAATTTAACTAAAACGAGGGAGAGAATTTGTGCAGCGTGGCCATGATTTAACTAAAACTAAGGGAACTAATTAGTGCAACATGGCCACAATTGAACAAAAATAAGTGAACAAATCAGTTCAACATGTCGATTGAACTAAATTGAGGGAAGTGATTAATGCAAAACGAAGGAACAAATTAGTAAAATGTGGCCATGATTTAACTAAAACAAGGAAAATCATTAGTGAAATGTGGCCACGATTGAACTTAAAAGAGGAAATTAATTAGTGCAACGCGACCATGATTGAACTGAAAAGGCCAAAAATGGACAAATTGAGTATTTCAACTGTTTACAGTTAAATTCAGTTGATTTGAAATAAGAAACATCAAACTAAAAAATATCAAACTTTTTAGAAAGAAGAAAATGTCAAACTAAATGGCATCTGAAAACAAAAGATCTTTATCTCAGCTTATTTTGAGAAATTGTATACAAAATACATATACATTTTATGCAAACATGATAGCTGGACACTACTTACATGCAATGTGATGAGCTCACGTAAAAACAATGTAGCATACAGTATTACTGTTTGAGACTTGCGATGTTGCGATGAAATGGAAGTAGTGACCGATTTTTTTTTCCCCGTATTGTGCTGTACTACATCTGAGTGTAACAGATTATCAAAAAAGAGAAAACCTGGGCCAGGGACTTGGTTCTATGCATTGGTTGTTGATTGGATTTTGAGATGTGGGCGCAGCGCTCAAAAGTGGACTCAAGATGAACGCAAGCTTGCGGTGGCAGAGTTTAAAGGCACTAAATGATTGAAAAAGTCCTGCATACAGTTTGTCCAGAGAGAAGTCTGATGTTTTCACTGGGAGGTCCAGTTATGATTTATCGATTTAACATTACGAGGTCAAAAAAGAAAAAAGAAACATATACATGGATGAATTGATCACAGCAGGATCTATAACACGCATTTAAAAATAGATATGTGAAGTGTCCTTTCATTTCAACATTAATTCAACAGTATTTAGTCTGCAGTGAGCTAGTATTCCATTCTTAACACACTTCCTGTTTCTCTTCTATCATTTGTTCCACAAACTCATCTCACATTTATCATATGACCATTTCACACTCCATAATAAGCAGCATCATACCTCAGCATACAGGCGCTGAAAATGAAGCAGATGCATTTGTAAGCCAGTATTTTTAGCTGTTATCAAATTAACTTCCTTCTATACCACTGTGACTTTGAGAATTCTCACTCTGTGACTTGGTTTGTATGTTATATGCACAGATTGCTCCCTCGGAAACCCTTAGGCTTGCTGTTTTACTCAGACTCTTACCCTGTTTTCAGGAATTCGCCTGGCCTACTGCAGAAGGGCCACGGGGCAGCATCTGTCCTCTCAGTACTGCTTTTACCCCAGTGATATTGCTATTGCACAGCCATGTGGCCGTGCACATGTTTGTCTGTGAGTGTGAATAAATGTGCGTGTGTTTGGAAATGTGTAAGCAAATAATGTGCACTTGCATGTATTATGCAGTTTTGTTTTCTACTTGACTGAATGAACACGTGTCTATGTGTGTGGGTCTGACTGTTGGTTTGGCACATCTGCTAATCCGGTCCACAGAACTCAAGGTTGCTTTGATTTTGTACCTGGCCAGCACACGCAATACTTCCTCTCAAGCATTTCACACTTTACGTAATCAACAAATCACAGTGAATAGCTGTTTTGTTGTTTCTGGTTTCCTGGCACAGTTTCTCATACTTAGGATTGCTGGTGTGTTATTCTTGCTATTATTGGTATTCATTGTCCAAGTTTGTTGAAGTACAGTATATGTACACTCCCATTCAAAAGTTTGGGGTCAGTTTTTTTTAAATAATTTTTTTATTCATCAAGGATGCATTAAATTGATCAAAAGCGTCAGTAAATACATTTATAATATTCCAAAACAATCTATTTCAAATAAATGGCATTCTTTTGAAGTTTATATTCATCAAAGAATAGCAAAAAATAAATAGATCACTTTTTTTTAAAGCAGCACAACTTTTTTCAACATTGATAATAATAAATATTTCTTGAGCAGCAAATCCACATATCAGAATGATTTCTGAAGGATCATGTGACGCTGAAGACTGGAGTGATGATGCTGAAAATTCAGCTTTGCATCACAGGAATAAATAACATTGATAAAATATATTCAGATAGAAAACAGTTATTTAAAATTTTAATATTACTTCACAATATTACTGTTTATAATGTATTTTAATATATCAAATAAATGCAGCCTTGTGGTGAATATAAGATAATTAATACAAAAACATTTAAAAATCTTACCAACCGCAGACTTTTGAACAGTGTATACGAATGGTTATGATTCAGTATTATATTTTATACCTACAGTAAGTGCCATTGTATTGCCATCTGATGCCATCATGGTACCTCCAGTACTTTTCCACATCATTTCCTGTCCTTGTCTACTCTCCCGTCTATTAAAACATGGCAAACATGGCAAAAAGGGCAAAGCAGAATGCGTCTAATTATCTTTCTAAGACCTTGCTTTCTGAAGTAGCAGTCTGAAACGTTTTGTTCATGTCATGCTGTTAGGATAATGGTCCAGGTGTAGGTTTACCTGCATGCTGTGTGAGTCATCTGTACTTGTGTGACTTGAATCACGTATGAAGTACTGTTCGCTGAGTGCTTTAACCACTGAGTCAGTCAATTAATGTAATTTCTCTTTTTATGTCAAGCCTTGTACTGATTTCTCCTTTCACTTTCCTTTCAGGTACTCAGTTGAGGGGTTTCTTGATAAGAACAAGGACCCACTTTTCCAGGATTTCAAGCGACTGATGTACAACAGGTATTTTTTCACCCTCATGTAACATTTTTTTATTTTGTGTTGAGCTGTTCCTTTAAAATAATGCATATATTCAAGGACTTGTTAAAGTAGGGCACTTGTTTTTAATATTCCTCTTTAGATTCCTCTTCTGTTTTATTATAATTTCCTTTTCACTAGCATGTTCTTGCTTCTTTTTTTCCACTTAATATTTTTGGTCAACTGTTTATCACGCTCTTTTCTAATCTTTTCTTGTAGTTCTGACCCCGTCCTCAAAGAAATGTGGCCTGATGGGAAAATGAGTATTACAGAGGTGACCAAACGGCCTCTAACTGCAGCTACACTCTTCAAAAACTCTATTATTGCTCTAGTGTACAAACTGGCCTGTAAGGTAAGAAATGACTAGTACTACTTCAAATGTCATACAGTGACCCCAACAAAACATTCTGACACTTAAGCCACACTTAAATATTTATAAATGTCTGTTTGGAAATGTGTAAGCAAATAATGTACACTGGTATGTATTATGCAGTTTTGTTTTCTACTTGACTGAATGAACACGTGTCTATGTGCGTGGGTCTGACTGTTGGTTTGGCACATCTGCTAATCCGGTCCACAGAACTGTACACTGTAAAAAATGACCGTGAATTTAACGGTAAAAGACTGTAAAAATGCTACAGTAAAAACCTGTTAAATGGTTAATGGTAAATTCCCCTACTATATACGGTGAAAAACTGTATTGGACATTACATGTATTGGACATTAATTTTACGGTAGTATACCATTTTTGGAAGTAACAAGGACCCGCTTTTCCAGGATTTCAAGCGACTGATGTACAACAGGTATTTTTTCACCCTCATGTAACATTTTTTTATTTTGTGTTGAGCTGTTCCTTTAAAATAATGCATATATTCAAGGACTTGTTAAAGTAGGGCACTTGTTTTTAATATTCCTCTTTAGATTCCTCTTCTGTTTTATTATAATTTCCTTTTCACTAGCATGTTCTTGCTTCTTTTTTTCCACTTAATATTTTTGGTCAACTGTTTATCACGCTCTTTTCTAATCTTTTCTTGTAGTTCTGACCCCGTCCTCAAAGAAATGTGGCCTGATGGGAAAATGAGTATTACAGAGGTGACCAAACGGCCTCTAACTGCAGCTACACTCTTCAAAAACTCTATTATTGCTCTAGTGGACAAACTGGCCTGTAAGGTAAGAAATGACTACTTCAAATGTCATACAGTGACCCCAACAAAACATTCTGACACTTAAGCCACACTTAAATATTTATAAATGTCATTGCATTAAATAAAATGTCAAACCAGATGGCGTCTGCACATAAATGCTGCTGGAGCTTTTCTTCAAAATAATTTCACTTTCTGAGCCATTATTACAACAACTTTCAAGCAACTAGTGTCAGGGTATTGTTAGTGGATGTATGGAGTTCAGAAAGGTGTCCTTCTTTTAAATAAATGCCACTTGGCTTGATGAATGTTACAGTATATAATGTATTCTTGTGTGTGTGTGTGTGTGTGTTTTAAGTACACTTTAAGTGTCGAAAAAAATTGGGGATCACTATTTAGATTCCACGTAACTTGATTTAGTAATTTAACATTCATCTTATTTTAACGTAATCCACGTCAATTATTTTTCATGCACATCCTTATCTTATGATTTCGGTTAATTTATACAAAATTTCTAAGTCAGCTGAGCCCATTATGTTCATAATTTTAAAATCTCACAAATTGGTGTAGATAGGGGCCATTGTGATACATTATGTCTGCAAGAGCATATGTGTAGAATTAAACAGGAATCTAATCTAATCTACACAACTACCCCTTTAATACTGTTCACTGTGAAAAGATGAAATGGGGGTCTCTCAGAATAGCTCAAGTAATCTCTTATGTAGACGTGTTGAAAAAATGTAATCTCTCTAATGGAGACTGTCTGTATTTGATAAAGCTGTTAACAGCAGAGGAACACCTGCTAAATCCTGCTTTAGTTTGGAGTCATGGGCAGCTCTCCTCTCCTCTCCTTTGCACAGCCATGTGGCCGTGCACATGTTTGTCTGTGAGTGTGAATAAATGTGCGTGTGTTTGGAAATGTGTAAGCAAATAATGTGCACTTGCATGTATTATGCAGTTTTGTTTTCTACTTGACTGAATGAACACGTGTCTATGTGTGTGGGTCTGACTGTTGGTTTGGCACATCTGCTAATCCGGTCCACAGAACTCAAGGTTGCTTTGATTTTGTACCTGGCCAGCACACGCAATACTTCCTCTCAAGCATTTCACACTTTACGTAATCAACAAATCACAGTGAATAGCTGTTTTGTTGTTTCTGGTTTCCTGGCACAGTTTCTCATACTTAGGATTGCTGGTGTGTTATTCTTGCTATTTATTTTGGGATGACCCAGTGCATCCATGATAGTTTCTGTGTCTGCCAGGCTGCACGTGTGTGTGTGCACTTGTGTGTTTGTGTAGTAAAGTGGGGCTGAATCCGGGGCAGCTTCTGCTTTTTTAGGTCACAGTAAATGACTGGCTGCCCTCCCTCTGCTCCTGTGGGGACACCTGTACCTCATCTGACCACTCACCCCATCCATCCTGACTTCACATGCTCTCTACACTGTAAAAAAAAAAAAAAAAAAAAAAAAATATGTGCGGCCCCTGAAATTAAATTACTTTTGCAAAGTAGACAGCTTGATTTAGTAACAAGTTAATTTAGATGTTATCACATGAAACACATTTTAGGTTGCCTATTGTCTGTAACAATATCTCTGAATCACTTATAAAAAAAATCACCTCAATCACTGTTGTTGAGACCGTATGGATGGATGGTGGATGGATGGATTGATAGAAAGATACAGCAGACGGATGATAGGTAGGTAGATAGACAGACAGAGATTGATAGATGATAGATAGATAGATAGATAGATGATAAACAACACCAAAACAACTCAATTACAATTATTATCTGATCAAACAAAATCTACAAACCTATGAAGACACAATTAAAAATAATCAAAATCCACTTGACTTCCCAATTACATATAAAGAATTGACAAACAAACTCAAAAGCTAAAAATGTAAGAAATCTTGTGGCATCCTGACAGCATTCTAGGTGAAATGCTGAAACACAGCACACCCGAGCTTCAGACAGCTGTGCTCAAATTATTCAACACTGTACTTAGTTCAGGGATAAAGCTCGAAGAGCTCTATATGCAATCAAGAAAAAATTCAAAAATATTGAAATACCGCTTCCAATTTGGTGTAACATCTTTGATAGTGTGATTCAGCCCATAACGCTGTATGGAAGTGAGGTTTGGGGTCCATTCAGTGATCAGAGCTACACTAGATGGGACAGACATCCAACAGAAGCCCTACACACAGAATTCTGCAAAATGATTCTAAAACTACAAAGAAAAACACCCAATAACGCATGTAGGGCAGAATTAGGCCGATTCCCATTGATTATCAATATGCATAAAAGATCTCTCAAATTCTGGATGCATCTTAAATCAAGTCCCACAGAATCGCTACATTTTAAAGCGCTACAAACCCAAGAACTGAACCCCGAAAAGAGTCCACTCAGTCAGCTAGTTCTGAGACTTACTAACCTGACTAACTCTACTAACACTATCCAGTCTCAAACCAGCACTGCATCTCATCCAAACATCAAAATAAATCAAATTATCAAACAATCTAAAAATACATGTCTGGAACATTGGGATCAAGAAACTAAAACACAAAGTAAATTACAATTCTATCGAACTCTAAAATCAAATTATGAATTGGAAGATTATCTCCAGAGTGTCAGAGACACAAAGCAGAGACGGATCCTGACCAAGTACAGGCTCAGTGAGCACAGTCTAGCCATCGAGACCGGCAGACACAGAAAGAGCTGGTTACCCAGAGAGCAAAGAGTGTGTGCTCACTGTGAGAC